CGTGATCAATTCACAGATTACCCTCTGGTGATTCAACAGTTTGCTATGGAAAATCACCATTAGAAATTAGGTAAATCATCTATTTCTATGGGCTAGCAAACTCTGAAAAAATAACGGCGCGTAATCATACCGATTGTCACAGTAATTGTTGGAAAATCCCCACCGGTTGGTTTCCAGTGATTGTGGATTAGCATGGATTAGCTATATCCCATGTCCGTTCATTGTTCAATAGTTATGACTAACCACCATTCTAGGAATTGTTGATTGGCTATATCCTATTTCCATCAACTGTTGAATAGTTATGACTAACCCAGTTTCATTAATTGTTGATTGGTTATATCCTATATATTTCTGTCAATTTGTTTTATATTTACTAGTTATAACATATCTTTATTTATTCTTGATTATAGTCGCGTTCAATCATATCTCATCATTGGCCGATTTCCTGGTATAATTCCATCCCCCTAATATTCAAAACCGCCGTTTGTGGTGCCGTGTGGTTTCACCCCCTACATCCACCATGGGATGTTTGATACTCCCATCAATTATATCATATATTGTTGGTTATAGATTCCCGTTGTATCCATTCATACCCGATTAATACCCCGCAATATCATAGGTGAGGAGGTGAGGAGGAATTACTTCAAATAAATGTCACCATCCAGCAATACTAAACACACTTAGATGGGGAATGGAGTTCGTTAACTAGTTTGTAAATGGGTTATGCTTGGGATATAGTTCATAAATGGATTTTAAAAATGAATGACAATTGGGATATAATTACATACATGTTATATAATCCAGTTACATTGATAACCCATAATCCTGTTAGTAAATAATTACATGATTGGGATATACTTACATTACATAATGTCATCTAATTGCAAGTATATCCCAATTACAATTAAACTTAAATATCACATTACATTGTAATATATTGGAAAATATTACTGCGAAAACCGATGTTAAAAAAACATAATGATTATAAAATGGTTATAAATGGGTTATAAATGGTTATAAAAATGGTTATAAATGGTTATTATAAACCGTCACTAGTGTCATAAAAGGTTTATAACCCAGTGACGGAGCACCAAGTCATCCGAGTCGCACCTCCAGCGCCTGTTGCCAAGCCACTCGGTGGGACACATTCAGCACCTTTCCGAAACAGGCGAGCCATGGTGAACCAATATGTCCTACAACGCAAATCTCCTCCAATATGCGGATATAAATATAAATATATGTATATTATACAAAAATAACTGATGATATAGCTGGTGAATGCTGGTGATATATCTATAGAATGGAGATATAATGAGATATGATGGTAAATATATATATAAGTACTGACTGTGTCCATGTAACAGGTGATATATGTTGAAATCGACCCTGTACAGGGCATTTATCCCCAGTATGTATGTATATATATATATATAGGGCGGAAGCTGGGGGTTCCCCGGAAGCCGATTGCAATTTAATTGTATGGATATGGAAAATGTTGATTTTATACTGTGTTTTACAGTGTTTTTTGCCTTCCCTTGAAAGTGTTCCATCAGTGAAAGTATCAATGTCGGCGCGGATAAACACGGAGTTTGTCCGCGCAGAAAAATGATAAATTTACATCTTCCATGGATGGCCAAAAATGCGTTCAACCTTTTTCCCATTGGAATTGCGGTTTCATACATTTTTCAGTTTTTGTTGATAAGTACAACATGTCATAATCCACTGGAGAACCATGGACGAAATGAACATCAGATATTTTTCATCTTCGCTTTCCCAAACCTTTTTTTTGGCATGGCGATGGAAAATGTTGTTTTTACACTGTGTTTTACAGTGTTTTATGTTTTTCTCTGAAATGGTTTGATCAATCGAACTTCCATTTTCATCGCGGAAGAACTTGACGTTTGTCCGTGCTGAAACAGGAAAATTTTACATCTCCCATGGACCGATGACTAAAGATGCGTGGAACATGCTAACCATTTGAAGTGCGGTTTCTTTTATTTTGGTGTTTCTGTTCAGAAGTAGAACATGTGATAATGCACTGGAGAACCATGGACGAAATGAAGAACGCACCTTTTTCATCTGTAAACAACAACGAAACTTGCAACGTAGCAACATCTTCCAACCAAGCAACATCTTCCAGGATTCAACATCATCCAACGCACTTCACATGACGTTATTACACCCCCCCCACCCCCTTCTGTACACAACAACGGAACTTGCAACGTAGCAACATCTTCCAACCAAGCAACATCTTCCAGGATTCAACATCATCCAACGCACTTCACATGACGTTATTACACCCCCCCCACCCCCCCCGCCCCCCCTTCCGTAAACAACAACGAAACTTGCAACGTAGCAACATCTTCCAACCAAGCAACATCTTCCAGGATTCAACATCATCCAACGCACTTCACATGACGTTATTACACCCCCCCCACCCCCCCCATCTGTATACAAGAACGATCTTTCTGGTATAGCATCAAGACTGAGGGTTCCTCGAAGCTCCGGGGAACCCCCAGCCTTGAGCCTATATATATATATTATTATATATTACTGGTGACAACTCTTCAGTGGGGATAGAATGCGCATATATTGAGGATAATCTATTGGGGATGCTGGCTTTAATCACTATGTTTGGCATACGTGGGGATACAATCAACAACAATAAAGATATGATTGATATGATGGGTATCTAATAGGAATATGATGGTTATCCGCTCCAGCAAACTAACAGATTGATATGGAAAACCACCATGCTTTTCCAAGCAAAATGATCTGCAATAGGTAGATATGTGAATTCTATGCCAATTAAGTGGAAGGTGAATCTTGCTGTGAACAGGAGGGTGCTGGGGTGTTGACTGGAGCAAATTGTGGCAATGTCCAATTCTGAAATAGTGAGACGTTCCCCGTCCTAACCATCCTCTGCCGCGAAGTCGTCATGACCACATGATGTTGGTCTGTGTTGTTGATATATCAAGGTTTGCTTGCATAGGGTATATATGTGATTGCATTTCTATTCTCATAGCTTATTATGTAGTCGACATGAGTTAGACTTGGGGACCAAAAAAGAGCTGATTTCCTTCCTATTTTTGGCAGGTGAAAGTCCACCCAGAAAGTTTGAAAAAGGAAAGCGCCTTATCCCCGCGAGTTGGGCATCTATTCTGAATTCTCATCCCTTTCCCCGATACCATTTGGAGCCAAAACTGCTACTTATTGTACGGAATACTGTAGAAATACCAGGGTCAATAAAGATATTTCTGGGCATCACAGTTGGGAATATCAAGATTATCCTTGTGATCCATTGTGATCCCCTCATAACATAAACATGGAGATCCCAAAGGAGATTACATATATGTTTAAACATGTTTATAATTGTTTATATATATTTATTGGGTTTATCCAAATACAATTATCAAACATCAGAGATCCCCCATCCACTTCGCCCGTCTCGTCCAGACCTCCCCCAGCTCTTTCAGGGAGCAGCGAGGGGCATTCACCCTTCCCAAGGCCTCGCGAAATCCCGTTATGATTATGGTGAGGTTATGGTGAGGTTCATGGATTTGTTTGGATGTTTTTCCATTGAACTTCCTTTTAAAGTTATTTTTTTGGGCTATTAATATGTCGGAAATAGTGCAATTTGTTCAGTTTGTTCGGTGACTGAGCCTACCGCTTTCTCTGATTCTTAAAAAAAGATGAACAAACCACATCCACTTACCAAAGTGGGACTGCGATCCTAAATTCCAAACCACATTCACTCACCAAAACCACCAAGAGAGAAGTACAACAGCCAGAGGGCTGGCTCCCGGTGATCATCTGCCTCTTTAGCCTCTTTATTTTGCGCCAACTCCAGGATTTTCAACCTTGGCTGCGCCCCTGTGGGATGCTGAGATATTGTCCACATACGTAATGTGTGTATATATATATATATACATATTATATACATACGTATTATATACATATTATATACATATTATATTATATATATATACATACTATATATATTATATTATTATATATATATTATACATATTAAATATATATATATTATACATATTATAATATATATATATATATTATACATATTATATATATTATACATATAATATAACATAATATATATATATATATTATACATATTATATAATATATATATATATCATACATATTATATATATTATACATATTATATATATATATATTATTATATATATATATATTATATAGAGATTATATATATATATTATATTATATATATTATATTATATATATATATATTATATTATATATATTATATTATATATATATTATATAATATATATAATATATAATATAATATATATATAATCTCTATATTATATATATATATGTATATTATTATATATATATATTATATATATTATATTATATATTATGTTATATAAAATATAATAATATATATATATTTATGTATGAGTGGCGGACAAAATTACTTACTACTTGCAAAGGACATGGCCAAAGTGGGTGGTCCCCTTTCGGTTGTGAAGGTTTTTCCTTTCATGCTATGTGCAAACATACGGTACCGGCAAGTGGGTGGTCTTCTATTGGATGAAGGTTTTCACACAAATTCAAACATCCCAAGTCCATTCCCTGCTACTTTTGTCTTCCGCTAAATTTACTCATATGTTTACATATTTATACAGAATCTATTGGGTTTTATACAATAGAATTAGTTCAAACTTTGACACTCAACATACAGTAGCTTTGAGTCTTGGATAGTCATTGGGTGCCTCGCAGTCAAAGGTCTCCGTTTCAAACGAACAGCCCATGCACTTGCTATTTGAGGCAAAATGATGATGAACTTCATCAGCTATTCATGGAGAACATATGGGAAAATGATGATTGACATTGATTAACATCTGTTCAACATCAAATTTGGATATATACATTTTCTTAGGGTTTATGCCATTTTCAGACAAACAGAGCTTTGGTGCAACAAAACACTGCCAAGTCACGCCATCTCCTTGGTGAGGAGATCTGGAATTTTCACCTCAAAGGCGATCAGAATGAAGAATGACTCTGGGCTGCCGCGAAAATTCCAAAATCAATAGAAATCCTGAACAATTCTTCAAACATCACTGATGTATACTCGTGTAGTATCTAGCTTATCCAATAGCTAAACAACGACAAAGAAACAAAGCCATGCGGCACATGTCTGACTGGACCCATGTTCGGCCCTAAACCTTGGAATTTGAATCTTTATGTCACAGTTGTGTACAGTAATATGTTTATATACATGAACAATCGTGAATATGTATGTGTATACATGTATATATTCAGTTTCTACGTATATTCAGTTTCTAGATATGATTATACATGTAGATATTCAGTTTCTACGTTTGGTATTTACCAAAGATTTGAGACTTTCCCAACATCCAGCTGAGGATTCCCAGCATTCGGAAGTACCGGAGACTTCCCTTGCATGGCTTCATCCATCATGGACCGAAAGCCTGCTGCTTGGCGTCATCTTGCAATGACTTATGTAGGGGAAATTTCATACAAAATCGCACCCATACCAACCAAATATGCTGCTTTTCACAGATGTTTCACAGATGTTTCCTATAACTGTCACTTTCACCTTCAAACAAAGCCGGGAATAAAGCAACCGGCAATAAACATTGGGCTCTCACTGAGTCCAAAGCCTGATTTGAGGCTCTTCTTGATGCTCTTTCTCCAATATCACATTTCTTACTGTTTTAAACTGAGTTATCTGGCAACGTCTCTGAGGTTTCCAATATCATGTTCAAATGCTGTGTATATTCCACAACCAGCTGGTCAACGCAGCAAAACCGAAACCCTCTTGTGTTGAATGTTAACAAAAAATCACATATAAATCATATTATAATAGTATACATACATATATGGTAACAAATAATGATTTTATAATTTTACATGTATAATTACCATACCAATATATATATATATATTATATAATTACATAATACATACCAACACTATTTATTGGTACACTTACAATAGTATGAACAAATATGACCAGTCCATGGTGTCTCCGGCTCGCCTGTAGTGTAGGCTTGCACCTCCGCATCCTGACGTCTATTTTATGGAGGTTTCCCAATGGGGGTACCCCTAAATCATTCATTTATAGGTGAATTTTCGATTATGAACCAACCATTTTACCCCTATTTTAGTAAACCACCTTCTACATATATATATATATATGTCTATAACCCGGAAAAATAGAAAAATAAGTTAGTAAATCCAAAGATAAAACAGTAAATGTATAAATCTATTCTTCAGTAGGATGTTATAAAACTCTATCTTTGGGGGGGATTACTATATACCAAATTACACCGATATAGATTTCGCTGTGGCCCAAGAGATTGTCTGGATATGGGTCAAATTTAAGAACCCCTAAAACGGATTCTTGTTCATATGATTTAATACTATGAATTGCCAATAACATGTGGATCCATCGTTTTACGGAGTCTTGACCCATACCGGCTCCGTACCCAAGATACGATCATACAAAAAATAACAAATGGCAAACATAGGGGAAACATATGGCTTTAAACCATGCAACCCAACAAACAGGTTGTTGTATATTCATTAGTCCACCTGATCAGTGAAGAAAACCTGGATGAGGCAAGTCATATTTCTTTGCCTCTCACGTAGACTGCTCCGGTTCTTGTACTGGACCTTAAGATCAGTTGGTGTCGGCTGCTGTTGAGATTGTTCTGGCCATGCGCTTTGTTGTGTGCTCTTGGTCATAAGTCATGCATTGATTGTGAACAGTCCACTTCACCACACCTACCATTACATACCATTACTAATATTACTACCATTAATATTACTACCATTGTTGCTGCCCAACTGTCTCTTTTCTGCCTGCACGCGATACTCCTAAAATCCACAAGCAAGTACCAGAGAAACAGAGTGAGAAGGAGTCAGGAGGCATCATTCAAACACATCACATGATTTATCCAAACCCTCAAACCTGCCCACAAAGAACTCCGGATTCCATTTTAGCAACCCATTCCACCGATTCTTGGAATATCATTTTCTTCACTTGAACACATTACACAGCAACATAAGTATCCCAAGCATTCTGGGAGGGGTCCATCAATCTCATATCATATATATATATATAACCGATTTGAAAAAAAAAAACTAACCATTCCTATCCTTCAAACCAGTAAGGTTGGTGAACTAACCATCATATATAACCGAACTAAACTTCTGGATAAATCCTGGTAATTCACCAACCTGAGAAGTTCGGTGCCATTTTTTTTCAGTGACGCCTCGAGGTGAGGTCGAGGCATCATTCATCCAGATATATATCTCCATTGTATCCCATTGTGTATATATATATATATATTATGTATGTACGTATGTATATATATATATATCCCAATCATACCACCATTTTTGGTTGTTTAAGTGACCATTGTTGTTGGTTAAATCCCTATCCCCGCAGCGGATTACTGTCCTGATGGCTCTCCTGCATGCGCTGAATCTCCTCAACACTCAAATTGTACTGTGCTGCCACCTGCCGAGCGCATCCGGTTGAAGTCTATGGCTATACCTGGAGAACTCACTGCAATAACACGCCATAGGATCCCACAGGAATCCAGGAATCGATTATCCTGTGGGTAAGCAGTAGAAGTCATTGAGAGTGTGATACCTGGCACTGTCTGGATGTTCCTGAAGGGTCTGAGAGGGACAAAACAATAGCCAATGCTGTGAGACGGGTAGTAAAATTGTAAAATGTCATTCTTGCTTAAGATTACAGTCTTCAAACCACGCCGGAAAATCCACGCCTAATAATTGTTGTGTTTTCTATTGTGAAGCGCGTGAAAAATGTATAAATAACACACAGGTTTCCAGCCGGGTGGCAGCCGAATCAGTAACCAGGAATCAGGAACCAGGAATCGGGAATCAACACAGATGAATCCGGAACCAGAATCGGGAACCAAAGAACCCAAATCCGGAACCAAGGAACACTAATAGTTCCCCCCACCCACCCACCCACCAACTGGCGATGCTGGAAATCTGGCCGCTGATTCGTGGTGTCTGATTTGGCCCTTTGGTGTTTGATTCGAACTTTGCTCGTTTCGAGACAGGTTGACCAAAGAGCATTCAACTGCCAAACTATCGGAGGTAGATCGCCTTGTGGTCTCAACCCATCAAGTTCTTTCCAGCAACATTTGCTAATTGGAGGGAACATGAATATTGAGAAGAAGGTTTATATATTTTTATAATATATATGTGTAAGATTATATCGGATGATATTGATATACTCCCGCATACAATAAATATATGTATATATAAATTATATATGTAGGGTGTACATCACCCATGCTACCAACCATCACAGCTACCTGCCACCTGCCTCAGTCTGGATCTGCTGGAGCTTCTCAAAGACCTGCCCATAGATCAGATAGGTATACAGCGAGCTACATATCTGATATAGTTGATACCATCTGTATACATATATATATATTATAATCATGTGTATACATATGTATGTATCTTTATATTATATATAATTATAAATATACATGTACATACATGTATATGCATATGCATGTATGTATATATATACATACATGTATATGAGCATGTACATATACTGTGTTTTTACAGTTTGCTTAAATCCCCATTTTGCGTGGGTAGATCATCTATTTCTATGGGCTATCTAAACCAACGCTATGTTGAATTACCATCGGGTATCCATCGCCATCCCACCTGGCACTGTCTCAGCAGCTGTTCCCGCAAGGTCTCTTCCGGGATGAGGATTTGAGACACCTACATGTGGATACCAAAAACGCCAGTGAACGGGAAATCCCTGAAGAAAATTATGGAGAATCCCATAAAATCCCTATAACGTGTGAAAATCATCGAACTTTCCAGCCAGCACGTTTGGTTAGCAAAAGGTAAGAGATCATGAACAGTACCATGATCTTATAATTAAGTATGTTTGGCGACCCTTTTGTGTTTTTTGGCGATCAAACCTGACAGTGTAAAATCAAACTGATTGACAGATTAACCAAATCAAGTCCTTGCTTTGAAAACGTATGAAAACGTATAAGTATACTTACACGTTGAAGGCTTCGCAAAAGTCAATGGGATGGTCATCTTGGCTGATTTTGACTTTTAGGTTTGATTGCCTCTATGGGAAACTCCCATGTGAGTCAACCAGGTGGCTATTTGTCTGGGGGCCACATTGAGACATTCCCTATCTAAATGTGCTCACGGCTAGTCCAATGGAAAATTCAACTTCACAGTTTGGGGTAAAATCAAGTTCATAGTTTGGTGAAGCAGCGTCTAGTCCGGTGATGCAGTTTGGAAGAGGCAAAACCCTCTCGGCGAATGGAACCGGTCTCCAAATCAAACCTTTTGGCTCAGTTACTGTAATTCAATTCCAACAATGGAAGTGGTGAAGTCTATGGCTTTGACTGAAAATTGAGCGGCACCAAAATCCATGGGGCGATCATAATTTTCTCCATTCAAGTTGACCTTTGGGGTGAAAAAAAACATGTTCAGTCACACCCGTATTGCCTTTCAGTAAACATCAAATGCAATGCTGCAAGAGACACAACAGTGCCCTTCTCAGTTCCACTCTCTAACTGCACAAAAATCATTTGGTGAACTTCAGAGTCATACCAGGCTTATGGTCTGCAAAACAATAATTCACCAGGAATCAGCCCATATTTTCTTAATGGGTTTCTTAGCCTCACAAGAAATTGGCATATTTTTCTGGATACGTTGAGGGTCCCAAGTGGCTTCCACATCCGTTTTTCTCCACCTGCATCTTGGTGCGAACCGTCTTGGCGATGCCGGCCAGGTCTTGAAAGACAGAGAAAAACCTGCGCCATGTCATCCCAAGCCTCCTTTTCATCCAAATTCAGATTGAATCCCCATGAAATCCCATTAAAATCCGGTGAGCACGGCAGAAACCCCCGACCTTCTGGCCATTTCATTGAGAGCATCCAGTAGCACTTCATACTGCTCACTGGAAGCGCTGAACCTCGCCACCGGATCGATCGGCACCCAACAGGCGATCCAAGCATGTTGAAAGGGGTTTCCAAATACCCTCTGGTAATTCAACGTAGCTATTGGAAATAGCCATTTATAGTTGATTTACCCATTAAAAATGGTGATTTTCCATAGCTATGTTAGTTTACCAGAGGGTATGTTGGATCTGTTGGGGTACCAAAATTTCACAGTCCAATTCTTGGGGTATCCAGTCCAACATAGTCCAACCGTCCAACGAGCGGCTCGTGTCACTGCAACCAAAATACCAAACTAATATGGTTTGTGGCTTCTAAAATATATGTTGGTGATGCCTGTTTCCCAACTTCACAATACAACATGACATAATATGACAATGTGCATCCACGAGGATATGTTCATGTTCAAATATGTACCGACCCCACATATATTGACTAATTACATATAATTACATAAACTAATTGCATGTTATTGCATGTTCATGTTCAAACCGCTGGCCTTGAAAATCAGTGTATGATGATCCTTTTCTATGGGTATATCTTATCATATATATATATCATGGTCAAGCTACACGGGATTGTGGGATATGGATTAATATGGCTTATGGTCATCCAACTGAATTTGACATCCTAACGGGCCTAACGGGTAACCATGGGTAACCCGTAAAACCCCGTCTGACAAGTGCTTATCGTGAAGGTCAAGAAAAGACCGGGGCCAACAATCGGAGCGCCCCAAGATACCAAAAGAACATGCACATCCAACTTTTGACCATGGCACATCATGGCACATATGACTCCAGTTTTGGGGCAACTTTCCCGCCTTCGGCGAGCAAGCGCTAGGACCTGATGCGCAAGAGGTGGTATGCCCAACCGTGGTGAATAGCAAACTGTTTTTTTGAACATGTTTTGCTTGGTATGGTTGAATTTGTTGTGATGATTGTTTCCTATTGCATCCTATTGCATTACAGTAACATTATTGGCTGTGTGATGGACAAAAAAAGACACTAAGTCTCCATTTGGAACTGAAGCTGCGAAGTAAAGTGGCACAAACTATGCCTTGATCTGATCACGAACATAAACTCAACAAACGGACCCGCCAAACATAGACAAGCACAGTGGGGTGTTGAGGATCCTGTTTGGTTTGTGTTGACAGAAGTTGCTGGGTTTCACTGAGCTGTCTTGTCGTCAATTTAAAATCCCTACATATACATACTCATTCCTTCAATTGTGGAACACATGTGGAACGAGTATTGCATCCATCAGCCAAGTCAAGCTTGACCCAGTGTTCATGTAGACTGGTAGATAGTTCGCAAGGTATAAAACATAATGTCTAGCAAGTTTCTGCATAGCAAACGAAAAGTGCATGAAAATATCTACATCCCCCCACCAGTCTGTCCGGTGTTGTTTCCCCCAAATGGTGGAGGCTGCAGATAGGGTTCTCCAAAAATAGGCTACTCTTTTGGTGGACAAACCCTGATATCCCCATGTTTTCTGGCTGGTTCACACCCCATCATTGACGATTAATATCCCCAGTTTTTGATTTCTAAATCACCATTTTTGTCAAGCTTGAATCACACATCAATACAGAACTATTTTTTCGAATCACCATGTTCAGTATTGAAGTGGTAAAATCACCATGTTTAATTGGTAAATCACCATTTTACTTAATTTTACTTCAATGTTTCATCTCTCCCCTCAGTTTTTGGGACACGACATCAACGCCACAGATCTCCGACATCTCGGTCCCAAGCCGCCAATGAGGCCACTCCCAGTCCAGCCAGCACCACCCAGCGCTCCCGCTGCGAACTGCCGGATGACCATCAAAAATGGGGATTGAGTGGTCCATGGTGTCCATCACCCCTAAAAAAAGGGTGCCCAAAATGATTGTTGGTCGAACACTAGGCGCCAAGATTTCTGGGCAGATTGAACAGGAGTAAGGATTGGATTATACATGATTACACTCTATATTATATATTATACTATAATATACTATATGTGTATGCTGTAGTAAAGTCGCAAGCAACATGATGAGATGATGGGATGATTCATAGTCCATAGTGGATGTTCACAGTCACACATCTCAGGGGATGACTCCCACTTGTGGATCTCACTGGGATGCACAAGCGGTCGGATGTTGAGCGTCCTTGAAACCAAGTATCACAAGGGATATACAATTTATACTGAACCGTGGTTCTGTATGAAACAATAGTATATTGTATTATTTAAAAAAAAAGTAATCTAATCACACATAATCATGCATATATAATTCATACTTATATATACATATTGTGCATGGGTTGGAGCATGATCCACAGTTTCTTGATATCCTTCACCACACCAGCATGGTGATAAAAGCTGGCAAGGTTTGAAATTCTGCAAACGATGAATGTTGCTGATCTTGGATGATGTACAGTAGCAGTGGCAATTGGACCCCACAAAAGAAATGAAAATTGCAAGAATGTCTGAGGTCGATCTCACAAAGGCTTGAAAGTCTTCTCAACTTGACAGCAGCTTTTTCGTTTGCATCATTTCCTCATCTTCCCCCTCACCATCGAAATGCTCATCCACATATCCTCTTACCCTTCCTCTTATCCTCATCATGACTCCAACCCGTGCCTCATTGCAGCACAACACCGTTGCGTCGGCCTACCACTCTGGCGCCTCTTCTGGCATCAAAATCTGTAGTTTCTCCTATTGATGTCTTTAAATTGTGGTTGGTGTTGGCCGTATTGGATTGAACATTTGATGTCACAGGCTGATGTGATCCCCTGGCATACTGCTCTTAAAGGTTGACACAGCATCTACACATTGACGGTGAAATTTGCCATAGCATCATCTGGACAAGGGTCAAAAATTCCTTGCGAACATCCACAAATCCACAAACTGATGCTGTCATGTTCTTAAAGCAGGTACAACCGGTACAACCTGCCAAAGTCATCTGGGCCAGAGATTCGGGAGTCGGATAGTCTCTGTTTAAAACACCAGCCAGAGACAATGATGTTGTGTGGTTTTTCCATGTTTTTCCGATACCTTGATAATCTTGTTTTAAATGGAAACTTCCCATGGATGATGGGGAGTACTGTATCCCAGGACATAGATGCAAATAGACACGTGCAATTCCGTTAAGAACGCCTTATCATGACGAGTTGCCAGCTTCTAGCCCCAAACATCCCCTTCCAACCTATTCAAAAGCCGGGATTTTCTCCATGTCAGCATCCAACATCGCTCCAGTTGGATCACCGATCCGGGCCCGTTCTATTTTAATCCGGCAGATCCAACGAAGGTGGTGCACTGGGTGCGGCAGCCACTTTGGACTTCGATGCATCCTCGAAAACACCTGGCACCCACGGGGCGGCGTGGAAAGTTTCTTGAACGAGTCATCATCTGGGTATGGACTGGGTATGGCTTTTCAGATTCATCAACATGTACAACATGTGTATATATATATATATAAGAAACAATTATATATCAACATAATTATGTAATCATACATATATATATACACCATACATAAACCCTTCTTTTGAGGATGTTTGCTCGGGTACCCCAAACTTGTTGACCCAGTCATCGGCCGCCACTGGGACGTCCAAACGCTTGTAGAGCCCTTCCCTGGTATCGCTCGGAAGATCTGCCGCGTCGGGACCTGGCAGGAACCATTGCATTACATATCATTGTTTAACATGCTTTAACTATGGGGGATTGAAGGGATTGTCTGTAACATTGTAACATATGTTTATACATAGATAGTTATTATATAACTATGTGTATATATATATATCGTGTGAATAGACATTTATCACTAAACATAGGGGACTTAACAAGGTTTGCGGTTTAATATTGGTTTAATCATCAAACATGGGGATTTTACCAGTAAAGATGAGGCTCCAATCCACAAAATAACTATAGTTTTCAACCAAAAAACGGATGGATGTACCATGATATGCCTTTTGGCCATCAAACATGGCAATAGAGGATCCTCATTTATAATCATATATACTGTGAAAATCAATGGAAAGCAACCGTATTAGTGTTAAAATTTGGAGAATTTTTACATTGTCAGATCCCAGCAAAAAGCGGCCTCGCTTCCTCCAGCAAAGCAAGTCGTCTTCGTAGCCTCAGCGGTGAACGAATGTAACGCATGGGTGAATATATATATATATATGGTCACCGACAGAATTATGGAGAAAAAAAAACGTTCAACTTAGACAGGCGGCGCCTGCGTCCGATTTTTCCATAATTAGGTTTTTCCCCATAAGGGTTCAAAATATCCCGGAAGTGATCCGAACCTTTTTTTTTTCCATAATTCTTGGAGGTGGCCATTATTTCCATAATTGATTTTTCCTGTAAAATCAGGGGGCTAGGGCAGATTGACCGGTTTTTCCATAATTATTTTTTCCATAATTATTTTTTCCATAATTATTTTTTCCATAATTAATGTTTGGGGCTCCACCTGTTGGACATGTCATGGATCCACAATTCAAACCCCTTTTTTTGGGGGTTATGGAAATATGTATGCAAATGCAAGTATGTAGTATCAACCCAGTTGGTGGCTTGGCAAAAGGATACATCCCGCATATGTATGTACGTACAACAATGAGTTTTGGTGGTGCAATTGTTTTTCCTTTGTTGGTACCACTATGCTCCATGGGTAATAGCCCTCATATGTAATTCTTAAGTTGGGATACAACCTCTTGGTATGGTTAAAACTGGAATTGCATTCAAATTGCGAACATCACATGATATTATGTATATCAATGGCAGGCTTTAGGGGCATATACCAGATCTTTAGACACATATTTTCTATAATTCAATATTCCCCCTTAAAATGCATTCAAATTGCGAACATCACATGATATTATGTATATCAATGGAAGACTTAGGGGCATATACCAGATCTTTAGACACATATTTTCTATAATTCAATATTCCCCCTTAAAATGCATTCAAATTGCGAACATCACATGATATTATGTATATCAATGGAAGACTTAGGGGCATATACCAGATCTTTAGACACATATTTTCTATAATTCAATATTCCCCCTTAAAATGCATTCAAATTGCGAATCGATGGACATACAGTCACCGACAGAATTATGGAAAAAAAAATAATTATGGAAAAAAAAAGGTTCGTAACTTTTCTATCATAGACAGGCGGCGCCTGTAAATTGAAACGTTTTTTTTTTTCCATAATTCTGTCGGTGACTGTATATTAATATATATATATATATGAATCAAGTTAAGATCCAGGTACTGTTTGGGATTAAGATTGATTAAGAACATATCAATCCCAAATGGATATTACTGTGCATGCCGTGTCACATTGTGCTGATGCTATCCCAACCGTTTCACGACTGTAAAATCGCCGACATTTGTTTTCAGCAATGCCAACCGGCTCTTGATCACATCGGAGTAGATGAAGGAACTGTGAAACCGATGAAAACTGTTATCCAAGCACGCACGGCATCAAACAAGCCATGACAAGCCAAGGAGGAAAGATAGGAAAGTACCTGCCTCCAAACACATCAAATGAGAATGGCTTGTCAGACATCATATATTGAATGTGATGGTTAAGACTTCAGATCTCCGAACCTGGTGCATTTCTATAGTAGGACTACCATCCTTGAACCGATCCATGCACCACAAAATCCAAGGCCTGGAAGTTTCCTGAAATGCAGGTACCCCCAGTCATCATCCAGCTATTGATAGGAGTTTCCATGAAATAAACCATCCAGCTATTGGGGGTAACCCCCATTTATGGAAACCTCTGCAACCTCCATATCTATATAATTCATAATTGGAGTTTTTCTGGGTGAAATAATGCAATCCCCTGGGCAAAAACCATGAGACATGGGTCCCTTTGAGGAGATTCTGACCCGTCGGCTTCCCCACATTCTGCCACGCCGATGCTCAATCCAGGGTTCCCTTTGGCCTGAAACCAACGCTTGGAGATTTTTGCAGGCACCAACTTGGAGATACATCGATCTAGATATGGGATGATATGGGATGATATGGGTATGGGTCAAAGTTTTTACAAACAAAAACTACGACCTTACCTCGGGACATACGTCAGAGCATCCATTTCGACTCACACATCCGTATCATCCCGTGTCTTATTGCTCTTACGATAATGTTAATTTTGGAAAGCCAACAGCCACAAACTGACCTCTGCTCAGTCCTTTGTGTCGCCAGTGGGCGAGTCAAGATGCTGAGAATCTCTGCAAACAGTGTGTTTCTCTGCAATCATCCCTATTTTTATGGGTCAAAACCCATGGAATTCCCTGGTTTAAAGTAGTTGTGGATATTCATCCTCCCAACATATTGTAGTGTTGCAGAAGGTTTTGACCCATCCCTTCCCATCCCCAGGACAACTGGAGACCAGACCCGCCTCGCCGACATAGTAGAGGCGCCATGGAGCCTAGATCGACGGGTCGTTTTTGTCAGCTAGGGGCAGCGACGACGATTTTTGCGACGGGAACTTGCCACATCAAAAAGTCAGGCTCCCTGAGATCTGTTTGAAATATCCTGTTGCAGAGTGAATAAATTGAATAAATCAATCTAATATGCAGTCAAAATTAGTGTTATAGCATGTTATAGCCGGGTCCATGGTCACGTGCGACCCTAAAAAAACGGTCACTTGTGACCCTAAAATCCCCGGTCACTTGCGACCCTAAAAAACGGTCACTTGCGACCCTATTCCTTTAAAAACTCTCACCCCCCCTGCGTTCCACCATGCAATTGTCTCCTTTAAAAACTCTCCACCATGCAATTGTTGGTTGGGGGGGAGGGATCATTCTACTTACATCATTACTTGACTCAGCCATTTAGGGTTTGGTTGGGGGGAGGGATCATTCAACTTAGATCATTACTTGACTCAGCCATTTAGGGTTTGGTTGGGGGGGAGGGATTCATGCACTTAGATCATTTTACTTGACTCAGCCATTTAGGGTTTGGTTAGGGGGGACGGATCATCGTACTTACATCATTACTTGACTCAGCCATTTAGGGTTTAGTTTGGGGGGAGGGGTCATTCTACTTACATCATTACTTGACTCAGCCATTTAGGGTTTGGTTGGGGGGGAGGGATCATTCAACTTAGATCATTACTTGACTCAGCCATTTAGGGTTTGGTTTGGGGGGAGGGATCATCGTACTTACATCATTACTTGACTCAGCCATTTAGGGTTTGGTTGGGGGGGAGGGATCATTCAACTTAGATCATTACTTGACTCAGCCATTTAGGGTTTGGTTGGGGGGGAGGGATCATTCTACTTACATCATTACTTGACTCAGCCATTTAGGGTTTGGTTGGGGGGAGGGAACATTGAACTTAAATCATTACTTGACTCAGCCATTTAGGGTTTGGTTGGGGGGGAGGGATCATTCTACTTACATCATTACTGGACTCAGCCATTTAGGGTTTGGTTGGGGGGGAGGGATCTTTCTACTTACATCATTACTTGACTCAGCCATTTAGGGTTTGGTTGGGGGGG